GTCCAATCGAATGTTTGGACACATGTATAAAAGTATTAAATATAGATTAAAAAATAACTAATTACACAGATTGCGATTAATTTAAGAGACGAATTTTTTAAACCTAATTAGTATATGATTTGATAATATGGTGCTACAGTAAATATGTGATAATGATAGATTAATTAGACTTAATAGATTCATCTCGTAAATTAGTCTACTCATGTGTAATTAGTTTTTTAATTAACTCATATTTAATCCTCTTAATTACCATCTAAACGTCCGATGTGACACGGACTAAACTTTCTGCGGTTGCTTTTCTGCGGTTCTCTCTCCTCCAGATCAGCTCCGATCCAGTCAGAACCAACTCCGATCCTAGTCAGCTAGCAACATAAATACCTGTTGGAGAGGCCCTTATAGCCAGATGGCTGGCTCATCAAAGTATGTAACCTCAGTTTACAAAATGTCACGCAAGTTTGTCTTGTAACTTGTTGCAGCCATTCTTGGAACTACGGCACCTCAATCTTTCACTTTGAAACAATCATGAGCAAAAATTCTTATTAGAAGCAGAGTCTGGACGTAAAGACAGCAGGAGATTGAAAAAATGCATGATTTTATTGATTGATGTGTTTGAATAAACAGCGATTATACGAATACATATGCCCAAGAGGTGTTTACGTGTGTTCGTGAGCAACTAGTAGCTAGTCCTTTCGGATAGACCCGAAAGGTCCGGTATATACAGGTAGCACTAATCTTCATTAGCAACCATCTAATAGCATAATGATCTGCTAATTGATCACTTTTTTTTCTCAAATACGTAAAAGGTTTGCACATCTTTGTATTAAGATCGAAAAATAGTAAAATTTACGACGACGCGCCACGAACATGACACACTAGAGAGATTAGTGTTATAAAATCGGCTCGGCCTTCCCTAGCAGAAGGAGATCAAGAGCTATCACTCATTAATCATGGTACCTAACCAGCATTGGCATTGGCGATCAGACACGCTGGCTTTTGTGGCTGTCGACAAAAGATGCTCGGCAGTCCACCGAGGGGTATCCCACGATGGTAGATTTGTCGTAGAGGTGAGCGAGATCAGGAGTGAGATGGTAATACAAGCACCAAGACACAAAATTTAGACAGGTTCGGCCGTCAGTATAACGTAATACCTACATCCTGTGTTCTGATGTATTGCATTGAGATGTATCGATCTGTCCACTAAGGGACCCCTGCCTCTCCTTATATACTCTGGAAGGGTAGGGTTACAAGAAAAGTAGCCTATTTGGTACTATACAATATTTTGCGGTGCACGCCGAGCAGCGCCGTGCACGCATTGATCTTGTTGGTTGGGCCACCTCTGATGATGCGGTCCATGTCTTGTCTTGTGAATATCGGGGGCCATACCCCCACAGCTAGTCCCCGAGCCTGACAGTAGGTGACGTAGTCACGTGGTGCCAGGATCAGAAAATAGAAGACCAGTCGAGCAGCCAGCCAGTCCCTAGGCGTAGCCTCGAGATAAGAAAAGCGCACATTCATCGCAAGGTGAAGTGTGTCCACTTAGTCCCCGAGCCTGCTGGAAGATGAAGAATGAATCTTGTAGCAGGGTCAAAGAAAAAGAAGTCTGAAAGCTTTGTCGACGTCATTCGACATGTGCGTATCAAGACCCCAGACGTGCTGCCCAAGATCAACACCCTGATCCGAACAGCATGGAGCAGCTTGATAGCACACCGATGAGACGTAGCAAGATCCGACCACCAAGGGCGATGTCCAAGCGCCGAGGAGTCTCCGGCGTAGCTGGCGATGTCCGAGCACCGAGGAGTCCCCGGCATAGCTGGCGATGTCCGAGCACCGAGGAGTCGATAAAAGATGCTCGGCAGTCCACCGAGGGGTATCCCACGATGGTAGATTTGTCGTAGAGGTGAGTGAGATCAGGAGCGAGATGGTAATACAAGCACCAAGACACAATATTTAGACAGGTTCGGCCGTCAGTATGACGTAATACCTACATTCTATGTTCTGATGTATTGCATTGAGATGTATCGATCTGTCCACTAAGGGACCCCTGCCTCTCCTTATATACTCTGGAAGGGTAGGGTTACAAGAAAAGTAGCCTATTTGGTACTATACAATATTTTGCGGTGCACGCCGAGCAGCGCCGTGCACGCATTGATCTTGTTGGCTGGGCCACCTCTGATGATGCGGTCCATGTCTTGTCTTGTGAATATCGGGGGCCATACCCCCACAGCTAGTCCCCAAGCCTGACAGTAGGTGACGTAGTCACGTGGTGCCAGGATCAGAAAATAGAAGACCAGTCGAGCAGCCAGCCAGTCCCCAGGCGTAGCCTCGAGATAAGAAAAGCGCACATTCATCGCAAGGTGAAGTGTGTCCACTTAGTCCCCGAGCCTGCTGGAAGATGAAGAATGAATCTTGTAGCAGGGTCAAAGAAAAAGAAGTCTGAAAGCTTTGTCGACGTCATTCGACATGCGCGTATCAAGACCCCAGACGTGCTGCCCAAGATCAACACCCTGATCCGAACAGCATGGAGCAGCTTGATAGCACACCGATGAGACGTAGCAAGATCCGACCACCAAGGGCGATGTCCAAGCGCCGAGGAGTCTCCGGCGTAGCTGGCGATGTCCGAGCACCGAGGAGTCCCCGGCATAGCTGGCGATGTCCGAGCACCGAGGAGTCGATAAAAGATGCTCGGCAGTCCACCGAGGGGTATCCCACGATGGTAGATTTGTCGTAGAGGTGAGTGAGATCAGGAGCGAGATGGTAATACAAGCACCAAGACACAATATTTAGACAGGTTCGGCCGTCAGTATGACGTAATACCTACATTCTATGTTCTGATGTATTGCATTGAGATGTATCGATCTGTCCACTAAGGGACCCCTGCCTCTCCTTATATACTCTAGAGGGGAGGTTACAAGAAAAGTAGCATATTTGGTACTATACAATATCTTGCGGTGCACGCCGAGCAGCGCCGTGCACGCCTTGATCTTGTGGGCTGGGCCACCTCTGATGATGCGGCCCATGTCTTGTCTTGTGGATACCGGGGGCCATACCCCCACAGCGGCACCTCGCCCGCTCTTCATGTGAGTGAGGGAAGGGTTGTCGCATTGCCTCAGCATGTGAGGTTGAGCTGATCGACGAAGATACTGTCGTAGGCATTCTTCGCTACCATGGAAGGCTTCGTCTATCCATCGAGCATTCCCATCCGCTTCATCACCAGCATCTGCTAATTGATCACTGACTAGCTAGTTCTAAGACTCCTTATCAATTTGCTCCTTATAATCTTAATTCAATAATCCTTTGATTATATTGATAACTTCTCTAAAAACCCTGTGGAAAGAAATTAAGGAGGAACTAAAGCTTTTATATGCTAGTAAACTCATTTAAAACCCATTAGAAAAAAAAGAGGAAAATGATATGGCATATATGGACTGTTGTCTTACTGTGAACTTATATGGAAAAACCTTGAAAGGAAAAAATCCATAAGCAAAGTCCAGAGAACAATAGTACGATATGCAGGTATAACCTCCCCAAAAACCTCAAGGGAAGGAAAATATGAGGAGGAACAAATATTTTTTTGGTACCTTCTCAAAACCCTATATGAGAAATAAAAGATATATGACATAATATGCCTTGAATTTTCCCTTTTGAATCCTCAGTGAGGAAAATAGTAGATACTGCATATATTCTTATATTAATATTGCTCATTAAAAAAATTTAGGAGAAACCTTCATGAAAAAAAAACATAAAGGAAAAAGATTATTTATTGGTAATTGGATCAAAGGATACATGTTAAGATTAAGTACGAGGACCGACTAACGTCTTGTTCGTTTAGGCTTGTTTGGCTGATAAACCATGGCTGAAAGTATTGTTGGCTGATTTGGTGTGAGAAAAAAAACTATTATTCGTTGGCTGAAAAAGTACGGCTTATAAGTCAAATAAGCCCAAACGAATGGGGCATAGATTTTTTAGGTTTTATTTTTCCCATGGCCTTATTATTAAAAGGGCCAAGATGGGCACCATGAACTGTTACAAGGAAAAGCATATTGTCTTTCTAGAGAGGGCAATGTGTGTGATATAAGTTATGGTTGAAAGCCATTGAACTTGAACGATACATTTTTGAGTTACAATGCCGACAAGACATGTATGTCTAGAGTTCACTAAGCAATAGGTACATGGTTATACAAACCCCGCCTGAATCATCAGTGTTCAACTAGAAGTTGATGGTTCAAAATTGCTCAACTAGCAACCTCTAATGCCTTTCAAAAATAAAAGGCAACCTCAAATGAAATCCCACGCTCCCACAAAGGATACGCTGCCAACACTCTCTTCTTGGTGAACTGTGCCCATGATCAGCTTCAGCTGTCTTCTCTAGTCTCCCTAGTACAAACACAAATAATAGCGAGACAAGGCACATTTAAAAACCGTAAGTCTAAATTCTAATGGCTGTTTCAGTAAACGTCTTATTCTCATTCCAATTTACAAACCCAGCACAGACCGCCAAAGTATACAGATGATCATTTCCCTTCATCTTTCTGAGGTCATGGATCGAAGTCCACCTCATGCAACCATGCACCATTCCGCGTATTTAGGATTTCAGAGATTGAAAACCTAGCATGTTCACATACATTGACCTGGGTAAGGACAAAATGATTGATGTATAATTGAAAGCAAGTGCCACCATGATATGATGCTACTTAATGTATAGTGAACAATGGTGCCTTACATGATAGGTTCCTCGCATGGCCCAAAGCATCATAGTAGCAAGCAACTTGCAAAAAAGTAGCAGCATCTGAAATTTCTCTGTATGATGCAGACGACTCAAGTTCGAGACCAGATCATGAATTGGAAGATATATTCACAGTTCCCTTTACTAACTATATCAATTGAACCAAACTAAGCCATGAGTAACCAATAATGGAAATACAACTATCTGCCAAAGGGTCATTCTTCAACTCTACAAGCAGTAGCTTTCTCACCAGGTGTAACTCAAATTTCACCCCTGCTCACACAGCTCCTGAAACCGGGCCAAGCTACAAGAACAAACTATATGCATGATTCATATGAACAGATGATAAAATAACATGTCTGTCTGTCCAAGCAAGAAATTAAGATTCAGTTTCAAGCAAATAAGAGTTATCATCTACCACAATTTTGTTAGCTAACATGTCTGCCTGGCAAATGCCATTGAGTTGATATGACAAAATTTCCAATTCAATCATTAGGTTGACAATGCCATTGAGTTGATATGCCAAAAGTTCCAATTGAATCATAGGTTGACAATACCATTGAGTTGATGTGCCAAAGTTCCAATTCAATCAATAGGTTGACAATGCCATTGAGTTGATATGCCAAAATATCAAATTCAATCATTAGATTGACAATGTCATTGAGCTGATGATATACCAAAAGAAATTGAAGAGGCAAATGCAGGAACAAGAAAAGGATTTCACTGAAGTACAGACAACATACAAAACCATGGTCATATAACAGACCTTCTAAGAAGAGGCTTCGGATTGTAAGGGAACAAATCCTTCTTTTGCAGATCTTCCACTGTTCTCTTCAATGAATAAAGGCATTCTTTAGCATCAAGAAAAAGCTTCTGTGAATTCTTGGCCTCTTTATCACAACCAGAACCATTCTTATACTGTTTACTTGTACTGGCTCTGTCACTATCTTTATCCCCAGAAGTCCTCTGCCTTTTACAGTCAAGCTTATCTATTTTTGTTGAGTAAATAGAATCATCAACAAAAGCATGCCAAGACTGGGAAACTAAGCGTAAGCACCTGTGCAAGTGTGTAAGAGAAGTCAAAGGTCACAATTCAGAAGACGCTTTGTTCCGTCTGAAGACGTCGGCAAAAATAATTAAAAAATTGTAAGATAGGTACCAACCTTAATAGATACTGAGCACAATGCACACCAACATCCTTAGATATGAGGTAATCAACAAGTACCATGTGATCATAGTGCAGCTGCAGAATAATTTCAATGAACAAAAAAAATATTATACTCAAAATAGGCATTATGGAGTGAAACAGGAGAAAAAATTGAAAGATCAAATAGAAGAAAGTACTATGGGTGAGCAAAGCTATGATTCCTAAAGTACTGAATTTTGTTTAGTATGTCCAATTACAAATGGTAAGGTTGTCCAGGTCCTCAATCATGGTTACAGCACTGAATAATTAACCCATACAATAAAATCACTCACTTGTACCACAAAATAAATAAGAACTGAATGTCAAGATGCTATCTTACAGAAATCATTGTGCCTCCAGCAGACCTAAAAAAACAATGAGAACATTTTGATCGACTCACCAGAAAAAGCAGCAGATGAAAAAGGTGAACTGGGTCGAAAATGCTTGAGAACAGTTTTACACCAACAAGTTCAGTAGTTTCCAAGTTAGCTCTGCAAGTTTGGACAAAAAGGTCACAACTTTAGAAGCATCTATTGTCTGGATAACTTTTTCCTTGCTTCAGTAAACAAACTATATTTTCCTACTTACATTTTTAGAAAAATGAGTGGTGCATCTAAAAGTTGTAAGAGAATGTTGAATAGCATGTCATCCTGAAATATGAATGAACATTGAACGTATTACCAAGAATGTTTAGAGTTCATAAAGCCAGTGGTAAGCCTTCTTTTCTATTACAGAATGAAGCATGAACTTGTTAATATTGAGTAATTGAGCAAAAAACAGCAGATAACTATTATCAGACAGATACGGAGAATAGAGTATACAGATTATCTTAGTTAGCAATTAGCAGTAAGGGGTTGGGCATTTGGTCTTGCCTTTTCACTGAAATGCCCAGCATATAAAGTAACTCACTAGCCATGTGCAATATTAGAATCCAAATGTCCAACTGTATAGAAAGAAACTACCCTGTTCAGGAAAAAAAGAAAGAAACTACCTACAGTGGGGCAACAACAAACCACTTGCGAAGACAAACTGAACTAGAATCGTAAAACTGATTTCAATCTACATTATCTAACAAATGTAAATAAAATCAAACGACTTAAAAGGTAAGATGTGTTTCCCAGAACAATGAATATGATATTTTTTAGCTACCATCATTTGGGCATAGTCGCATAGATGCATACCTCCTCCATATACAATTCCAGAAAGGATAAGGCAAAACTTGATGAATTTGAGTCAAGACTCCAGTTTAGGTAACACTTCTGAAACCAGTCTGAAATTTCTGATAAGCCAAAACAGTTGCAGTGATTACTACAGCCTTGTACTTTGTGACCCAACAAACACTCATCCCTCTTGCATGAACATTGAAGTGCACCATCATTTCTGCTGTAAGACAAGCATATGGAACAACTAAGGAACAAATAGATAGCTTGCCTTTGCAAGTGCCGAGTTGACTTATCCTGACTCTCAACTAAATCTACCATGTCCAATAAAAACGGAGAACCTTCTAAACAATTTCCTGGTTTAGCAATATGTTGTGAGATAGGCTCATGAAGAAGGTCTTCAAAGTAATGCCGAAGCAATTTCAGCCAACTAACAATATGTGAACAATCTTGCTGTATGTAAGGCTTAAGCCGCATCATTACCATCTGCATTAAAAAAATGAAACGTTAAAATGTTTAGGAAGCCAAATTAACTAGCAACAAATGACACAAAAGAGCTCTGAATGTCAGAGCTTACCAGAATTTTATGCTTTAAGTACTGATAAAGACTTTTGGGTCCATCATACTGCCCATGTAAGGAAAATGCTATCTTGGGAACTATATCAACAAGTTTCACAAACATATCTTGTCCATCTGTACCTTCCAGGTAACTGTGGTCAAGAGCAGAGCTAAGTAGCTGGAGAAGACTGCCAGTCAGAATTCCAGACTGTGCTAAATCATTACAGAAGCTAAATCTGTTATCCTTAGCACAGTTGGCAAGTCCTCCGGCATGTAATTGATGGAAAGAATCCCAAGGCATCTTATGAATATGATGAATGGATAGACAAATGAAGTCATCTGTCAAATCACTGTCACTGTGTTTAAGGAACTTCAAGATAGCATGTAATACTCGAAAGAGACTGGACATGGTTTGCCCACTGATATTGAGACAACGCTCATTAAGTACTGTCATGAAGCTTGTGATTCTTGAGCTTGAACTAGTGATGTCATTACTGTTGGAGTCAGTTGTAAAATGTGAAGTGTTATGAACACATTTCGATGCTGCATGTATAGCCACCCAGACAAGCTCAATGAACTGAATCCAAATGTATTCCTAGGAATAGAGAAACAGCCATGGAGTAAACAGTTAGTCGACAAAAAAACGAGACTGAATGCACCAAAAGAAGAAAAGGGAAACATATGAGAAGCATACAAACTTAATTAGGGTACTAGATATGGAAATTAGGATATTGCCAGCTGAGTGTTTGACATAATCACTGCAGAAATCAAGGAAACCAACCTGAAAAGGATGACAAAAGATGTAAGTTTTGGTAACCTACTAGTCATACTGGTCCGCCAGAAATGCACAGGCAACATAAATAAGACAATACTAGCTAAACATAAAATTGAAGTGAATAGAGTGAAACATTGACATAGTTTGCCAAACAAAAAAGGTTTTTACCAATACAGAGACCATATTCGCCATGCAACCAAATCCATCATATGGATGCTCTTTAAGTAGTAAGCAGCAACTATGAACTTCTCCGGAATCAGAAAGAGTTTCCTAAATGAAATGGGAAAATATGAAAGTGTTATTATCTCCTGTGACAGTTGTACACATAACACAGCAAATGGATGTGAAGACTTAAAGCATAGATGACAGATTCACTTCTCCAGAATTATTCACAAGTTTACACATAGATAAGCCAACAGAGATACTTCCACCACGAAAAAATGATATCTCACTAGCATTACAGCGGCTCATAAAAATCACACTTGAGTAGAGCAAAAAGTTATTAGATATCCTATGCCAGTATATTGATATCAACCATTAGATTTTTTTTTTCTGGTTTTAGTCAGCTACCAAGTATTGACAAATTAGATGTCACTGAATACTGCTGCTTTAGAAATGGAAGCTATCATCCAATGTGGATTGAGTTTGGAAGGGTTATGTAAGTAATCAAACATAAAATTTATTGATTACATCGATTGCGGTCTGAGATTCGAAGGTTTACAGAAGCATCAAACACAAATTTTGGAGATTGACTGTTAATTGCTCCAAGGTCAGACATGGGCTAAATAAATGCTCTCACAGAAATGGGGCAAAAAAAATTCTGTGACAACCCAAAACCAACCACAGAGTGAATTAATATCAGTCCCCAGCTGCTCCATAGGACGTGCTACACTAAACACAGTTACAGTACTACTTGCGACAGATAAGATTGTGGTAGGACTAGCCAGAGAGAATTTACCAATACTTTCATAGGTGGATTAACAGTGAAAAAAAAATCCTACTGAAACTCGAAGCAATACCTGAACCAATTCACAAGCTGCCTCCTCCTGGTCCCATCGTCGTATCGTCTTGTTCACCTACAAAGTCCCAGTCAAACAACCACGAAACACGATTATAAACTGGAGGAAGATGACTGAAGTTACCGTGGAGAGCGCGAGGAGGAGCTGCCGCTCGTCTTCCCGCGTCAGCTGCCGCGGCGGCGACGGCGCGGGTTCCTGCGGTGCGAGAGGCGCGAGTGGGGTTAGATGTAGGCTCAGAGCGGCGCGGGGTTACAGGAGGAAACCAATGCGGGGCGTGCGGGGTGGAGTTGCTCGCTTACGAGGTGGACAAGCAGGGAGGAGGAGACGAGATCGCAGAGGCGGGCGAGCTTCCGCTTCTGCTTCTCCGGCGGCACCGGCGGCGGCGGCGGCATCTGCTGGCTGCTGCGCTTGCTTCTCGCGGTGGATTTGAGAGTATTACCAATCGAGTTGTTGGAATTGATCGCAACTTTGCGGATATGGGAAATCCAGTTGCGGTTGGGTGTGATATCCAACGGCAGTGGTGGGGAAATCCAGCAGCGGCGGGGGGAAGAGGCCGGACGGACGTGCGGCCACGCCGACGGTGGCAGGTCCAGCGCGCAGGTGTGGTAGACTGGTAGCCGCCGAAGAGACCTTTGTTTTTTTTGTGCGAACGTGCAATGATTTTGAATGAGGCATTTGATTTCAGCGAAACAAACGGTGTTTTCCTCTTCCAACAAATCAGCATAATCATCAGCATATGTTCTGCTGCACTATTTCAGCAGTACTTTTCAGCGAACGAACAGTATTTTTCTCTTACGACAAAACAGCATAAGCCAATTTTTAGCGAAACGATCAGGGCCACTATTTGCAATTGACAACTAGTATTCCTGAGCTCAAATCCATTGCCCATGATATCTTATGAATTTGAATTGTTATGTTTGAACTCCGAAGTTGGATAACCATTTGACCAAAGAGAGCAAATACAAGGAAAAACAGAAAGTATGGGCCCCAATTTGGGTGCTAATGTTGAGTTGAGCATAGAAAAAAAACACTCAGAAGTAGGAGCCCTAAATCAAAAGTAAGAGCCTTGATTTGGGATGTAAAGTTGCTCTTAGCCAATATACAAACGGTTCAGCTGGTGATTATTTCAAAGATGACGGCGTGTAAACTTAGGTACAGAATGTCATTCCCTCGAGGAAAGATGCAGTGCAGTTTAAAACTGAAGGCACAAACGCACAAATGCTGCATCATAACCCCAGGTTTGTCAGCAATCTAGCAGGCAAGAACATGGAAACGAGAAATGAAAATTATAGCATAAAGTACTACGGGGGCATTTGTGAGAAGTCAAATCTCAGAGATTCATCGGTTTCACGGTCTCACTGCTAACCCTTTATTATTACATAAGTCGCTGTCAACAACAAACATCCTAAATCAGGTGAGAGAAAAAAGTGAAATAACAGTCTGGTGACAACGCCAATCCTGTAGAGTTGCATAAAAAATGGCAAAAATGATTTCACTAGATCATGGCTGCTCTGCAAATTGGGATATCTGACTAGATCACCAAATTTGGTAATTGTAGTTTGTGCCAAAGCTGTTCTTGTACATTAGGTGGAATATTCATTCACCTACAAAGCAAAATAGAAGCAAGTCACTAGACAACTAGGAGAATTACATAACGAGAATTGGTTGGTGAAAAGTACAGAAATGAATTACCAGAAACTGGACCACTATTCAATACTGACAAAATATGCAAACTAAACAAGGCAACTTTAACAAAGTTGGGGATAGCAGATGTGAAGGCAATGATGTTAAGTGCAGGAGATTTACTGAATGCAAGAGAGTCTAGTACAAAATAGAAACACAGTTTTCCTTGGAATTAGTTATGTGTCAGACATCTTGTTCAACATTTTTTTTTCTCAAACAATATCTTGTTCAACCTTACTAGCTGAGATCATTTGAGTATCTTCAGCACTAAACTGTACACCCTCTGCAAAATTTAGGTTGTTTTAGTTTTGTCATAAATCAAACTTCTCTAACTTTGACCAAGTTGATAGAAAAATGTATTAACATCCATAATATAAACACACTATCATAATCGATACATATTCATGGTGGATTTAATGAAACTAATTTGATGTTGCACATGTTGTTGCATTTTCTTATAAGCTTGGTCAATGTTAGAGAAGTTTAACTGAAGACAACAAAAACAACTTACATTTTGGAACAGATTGCAGTAACTGAAATTCCCTAACTCAGCTGTCTCACAACAAATAAGAGTACCGACCCATATTCTTTTTTCACACGAAGGCACTGTCCAAAACTCTAAACATGTATTCTGAATTCTTGATAATACTAAACATACACTTAGTGACCAGTAACATGGAACTCAATTACTTGAGTAGAGGTCATGTTTGGTCTATCTTCTCTTCCACAACACATCATTAGCAGTAAGAAATCAGATTCTAAATTTGCATGCAAAAATGAGATTCTAAATTTGCATGCAAAAATGAGATTCTAAATTTGCATAAAAGCACTTAATACATTAATTCCTTCAAAAGCTACATAAGCAACTGCAAGCATGACTTAGGTGGGGAAAGCCTGAACAAGGCATTTCCCACATTATCTTGCTACAATACCATCACCACTGAGGATCACAGGGAGCCAACAATTTTGTCTGCTCTTAGTAACACAAACATGTTCAGTAAGAAATTCTGTATGCCATGTGAAGCATTTGACACAAAAATGTGATAATTTATTAGAAAACATCTGATCATCACAGGTTCCTTTTTACGAATGAAAACTAACCCAAATAGAATGCAAATCAATGAAGAAATTTGACTAAACTATCCTCACCTTATGTGGAGACAGTTTCCTCCCATGAATTCTCAGCGAAGTTTCTCCTTCACAGAGTGCTTCTTGGCCGCTTCCCGCACCTTTTCAATATATCCTTCAATTGGTGGTGTGAGTGTCGCCATGTACCGGTTTGCAGGGAATGGTGTCATGTCAGGTACCATAGCAGCAGCTCGCAGTTTCTCAGGGAGAGCAGCAATGGCCTCCTTTTTAGGGTCAGAAGCGTTGACTCTGCTGTTTGCCTTGCACGGTGCCACCAGCATTAGCACACGACTGTACTCTTTGGCAAGTCGCCGACCATCCTCGACTGTGAGCTCATACTTGGGGATTGCCTCCTCATCAACTAGCCCAAGACTGATATAGTCAAGGCCTGGTGGACCCATAAGCACACGGTCTCCTTCACCTCCACCAGTACCTTTGGATTTGGCTTTAGCTTTGGCCTTGGCTACATCAAGCTCGCGTTGCCTCTCCTTGGAGACAAGTCCCAGTTCCTCACGTTTAGCTTCGCGAAGACGCTCCTTGGGGAACAAGTGCCGCAGCGGAGTAGAGGCATTGAGACAAGACTCTGAAATATTAGTAATGCGCTCAATGGCCTCACGACGACCACGGCCGCCGCCACCTCCACCAGTGGAAGGTGCCCCTTTCTTCGCTCCGATGGTGGAACGCTTCAAAGGCTGACCTGCTTTGAGCTTAGCCTTTCCTTTGGCTGTGCCACTCACTGGCGCACGCTGTTGAAGCTGGTGATGCTGACTGGTCACACCAGATGCCAGTGCAGGGCTTATAGTTAGTGCTTTGAGATGCCGAAACATGATGCCCCGTGCACTTGAAGCCATTCAACTACCTTTGCTGCACCAATGAGAAATATGCGATTAACCTGACTTTTCCTTTCTTTTCTTTTGTGGACATACAAAGATAGAGTTTTCATGAAGGCAGTTTATCAAAATGAGCAGGCATGGTCCAATAAAACAATGAAGCAGCATAAGTGAATGCGAAATACAAAATCAGATGTGTTTGAAGCTTGAACCACATCAATTGAACATGTGTAATTAAAAAACAAGTACTGGTTATGTCCAATGGAGAACAAAAATGTGAGTAAACTCATAGGAAATATCAAGCGGCATCTCTGACAGGCATGATATAGTTGATAAATTACAATGTGTTCAGGGAAGGGCCCAAGAAATCAACTGACACTGCATTGTCACCAGAACCTCTAGATCCAAACATCCCTGACCAATCAAACTCTAGTAACAGCTTCAGACGCAAAAAGAAGCTAAGGAAACAAAAATGCAACAGTCACCTTGGGGCTTGGGTTGCAGGTAAGGATCACAATCGAGCATGGTGGCATGGGTAAAGATCACCAACGCATGTGCCACACAAGAGAACGAAAAAGCATGTAACGAATCAACAAATACATTCCATCCTCCCAGTGACGAACCCAGGATCTGAATCCATAAATCCCTTATGCAATACGGTATAAGGTATCATCAATATAGTACCAAGATGGAGTTCAAGTTCCGTGAAACCAGTATTAAGGCCCCAATCATACGTAGATATGCTGAATCACAAAAATCACATTTCACAATCTGTCAATCACCAGTTTTAAGCATACGGAAACCTTCGCCTCTAGTGTCTATCGTCTACTAACTACTGATCCTCAGTAGACATTTTACTCACTAGAGATGCAGTCTTGCAGAGCAGGCGAGGAGGAGGAAGAGCAGGCACTGCGCAGGCCGAAGGGGTGCCGGCCGCCAGCAGCCCGGGCGCCCGGAGGAGCTGCAGCCCAGCAGCCCGCGCAGGAGGACGGACGTGAGCGCACCTGCGCCTGCGCAGGCGAGCCGCCGCCACGGATGCCGCGAAGGTCAGAAGCGAGTCGGGAGACGGGAGGGGGCGATCGGGTAGGGCACCAGGCGTGCGGTCCATGGTTAAACGGGCCTGTGCTGGGCTTTTCATTTATCTGGGCCTTTAAACGCGAAGTACTAAAAAATACTTTTAAAAAAAGTGCATCAGACCTCTTTCAAATTGTTTGCGTGACTCTCCTCGATTAGAAAATCGGAATTTCAACTTTCGAAACCTTCAAATTAACTATTTTACATGGTTCCACGTTAGGAACGAGGGAGGTAGATCACTAGTAGACTTGACAAAATATAAACATAATTTTTCAAAAGGTATTCAGATATTTTCTAAAATAAATATGTAGTTAGAAATATTAAAATCTGATTTGTTATTAGAAAATTTGTTCTAAGTTTCAAAAAAAAATTGTTGTAACTCAAGAAAATGTGAAATCAGTTTTATGTCTTTTATAAAATCTTATCTGGTCTCCTAAAATTTGAAACTGAGCGAAATATTAAACGAAGGATGCAGACCAAGACAAATCCTTGCATACCACAACGTGAATCACCACACAATCTGTAGTGCAAACTGCAAAAAAAAAAAAGGTTTCTTCAGGACCAATGTCTTGCCTAACCATTGATACATGCCTAGGAAATTCCAAATAAAAATATAATCCAAGCTCTAGTTGCGTATTAACAACATGTATTATGTGGTTTAACTTGTAGCAATATTGTCCTCTTCAAGGACATCACGATGATGACGTGTGGAGACTCATTAGACCATCAGCAGTAGCTGGCGTGAGAATTCTCAAACTCCTGAACCAATGTTTGCGACCTACCCAACAACATCCAGATGGATGCGACCGCTTCCTAGTTCATCGTCGTCGTTGGGTGTAGGTATGCACATGTACCGGGAGCACATGATCAAAGCAAGAAGGCGGTTTGGATGGACTTGTGATGCCAAACTTCATGCATTTTCTAAAATCATGCTCTACATTATAGTGCCTAGCTTAGATAAACATATAGCATGATTTTAGGAAAAACATAAAACTAGTTTCATATTTTTGAGTTAAAAGAAATTTTCAATGAATTTTCTAATATTAAGGGTGGGTTTGGTAGGGACTCGATTGTCCTAGAAACATTTTATATTTAATATAAATTCTCTATAGAAACATTTCTTTGTTGAATCAAAAGCACTTTCTTGGAACTGTTTGGCTCGTTCACTAGATTCATGAAACTAGAACTATAGTCAGGAAAAACTAGGTTTTGGGTCTTGGAACTGTTTGGCTCGTTCCAAGTGATTCTCATTATAACATTTCTCCCTTTGTGGTGTTTGGTAACGATTCTAATGATTCTATCGAGAATCTAAAACATTTCTCATTGTGAAATGCACCCTAAATTAGATCTTTAAATACATATTTGTGGCGTAACCACCCAAATTATCTTTGACCCACGTGTACTGTTATTGTCCTAAAGACCTCCGATCATTGCATACGAAAAGCCGGATAATCCGGTAGTCTGTCGGGTGTCCTCGGGAACCCGAATCATCCACATTTACAACTCATACATGATCAACAATGGAGTTACCACAACATTACAACATTGATACAATAATATCATACATCAGATTACTGGAAGATTTATAACATTAGGTTACAAAACATATTATGTACCCTTAAGTAACACTTGAGTTCCAAAAGTTGAGTAGAACGACGGAAGTATCTTAAGTGAAGTACCTAAGATAGAAGAGAACTAGATCATGTCGAGCCCATCGACATGACCTTGATTAGTGGCACAAGTCAGAACCTGCAACAGGGGTTAACAAACCCTGAGTACTTGAGGGTACTTGAAAGCATCTAGGCCCCTAAGTGGATTTCGGTGATTAATATCAATACAAGATTACTATGACTAACGTGTGTTTTGTAGAGGAAATTAAGTTAGGTCATGGTAATGGAGATCGATTAGGCAATTGAGGTTGTCATGCCCCTCACGATGGAAATCGTTTCGGTTTTCAAAGGATGGACGACAAGGTTAAGGATAACTAGTTCTAAGTGTCAATTGAAGTTGGAGAGACACTTAGAGTAGTTTAGGACTTTGTTTTTTCTTTGGCCGTACTATGAAGGGGGGTATGAACGGGTAGCTTGACCTAGTTGAGTCTAGTGAGTTAGGTGTGGTGCACACTTGTTAAAACTAGCTCTAGGTAGCTCCTATGAATGTCTAAGATCCTTTGGAGTAAACTTCATTCACATATGATCGAGAGTTGAAGTGAATGGAGGGTCAAATCTTGACCAGGGACGGCTCGGTGCGACCGGACTCGGGCCAGCAGGTCCGGTCCGTTCATTTGATCGAGGAGAACAAGTCTGGAGTGACCGGACGACTGGAAGAGTCGTGTGACCGGACGTCGGGGCCAGCCGTCCGGTCGACTCCGATAAGGGTCTAGACTTGAGAAAGTGTGGCCGGACGCGTCCGTCGGTGGTGACCGGACCACAGTATCCGGCGTCCGGTCGATTCTGATAAGCATCCAAGAAGCGACCGGACGCGTCCGTTCGGTCTTAACCGGACCTGTCGGCGTCCAGGTCATCACTTGGAAATCTATTAGCAGGTGAGTTGAACTGGACCGAGCGTCCCGTCAATACGATCGAGCATCCGGTCATCCATGCAGAAGCTCATAACGGTTCGTTTTTCAGTCGCCTTATAAATAGAAGCTCCACTCGTGTGTGGAGTTACTTTTGCTCATTCCAATAGTCGAGAAACACGTTTGTGAGTGCCAAGAAGAGCAAGGTCCTAGTGAGGTATTTGTGATTTGAGAATCCAAGAGTGAAACCTCATTAGTGAATCAAGAGTGACAAGTGTGCATCCATCTTCTCATTAGGCTTCATGTGGTCAAGTGAGAGTTCGTGCTTGTTACTCTTGGTGATCGCCATCACCTAGACGGCTTGGTGGTGATTGGGAGCTTGGTGATCACCCGGTGGAGCTTGTGGGTGACCCAACTCAAGTTGTGGCGGTTTTGGGTGATTACCACGGCGGAGTGTCGAAGAATCAACCGTGAGAGACTTGATCCTTGCGGATCAAGGGGAGCTACACCCTTGCAGGTGCTCAACGAGGACTAGTGGAGAGTGGCGACTCTCCGATACCTCGGCAAAACATCGCCGCATTCCTCTCTCCATTTACTTTGAGCATTTACTTTAAGTATTTACTTTGAGCAATTCAATACTGTCTTTACATTCATAGAATTGCTATGCTAGAGTAAGTTTGAAACATAGGTTGCAAGTCTTTTGTGCGTTGATTTGATAGAAACACTTTGTCTAGGCACAAGGGGTTAATTGGGCTATCTGTAGGATTTGATTATTGCAAGAAAATTTAGAATTAGCCCAATTCACCCCCCCCTCTTGGGCATCTTGATCCTTTCAATTGGTATTAGAGCCTCATACTCACGTTTTTAAAGCTTAACCGCTTAGAGCAAGATGTCTCACGGGATGGACCTCCTCCTATCTTGAGGGGGATGATTTTCCATATTGGAAAATTCACATGGAGGCTTACCTAGAAGCTCTAGATGTTGGAATTCTTAGAGCCGCCTCTCAAGGGTTCCCAACACCTAAGAATGCCGCTTTAACTTCAAGGCGATGAAGTAAACTATAAAAAATAGAATGCAAAGGCTCGTAACACCATCTTTAGAGGCCTTTGCAAAGATGTGTTTAATCGTGTAAGGAACCACAAAGGCGCCCATGCACTATGGTGGGACGTTTATGCGCTCCATGAGGGAACCAAGAGTGGCGTGAGAGGCGCTATCATCTTGTGATTAAAAAGCTAAATTCGTTTGAGATGCTTCCCAAAGAAAGTGCTAATGAAATGTATTCTCGTTTATATGTTCTTATAGAGGAAGTCAATGGGCTTGGACTTACTCAAATGTCACCATCCGACGTTGTGAGAAAGATCTTGAGTGTCCTCCCCATTGACAAATATGGACACATTGTGACCGTGCTACATCAAGGTGATCTTTCCGC